AAAGTAGAGAATTTCCAAGATTTTTAAAATGACTATTTACAGACAAAGAGGGAGATTTACCTGTGCCAGCATGGGGATACTGTATTACATTTGTTCCATTTATAGCTACTGCGCCTCCTCTCTCCATTCTAACCACAGTACTATTCAGGTAAATCAAGATGTTCCTTGTACACGGTGTAGAACCAGCAGATCTGCAGGCACTGTTATCTGTTACAACTGTAAACGAGTTTTCACTACAGTCTTTTGCGAGGATGTATCTACACTTGCCCGATAATGAGTACGTCAGGCCGTCAAATGTCCGGTAGTGTGTTTCCCCGGTAGATGCGCATGTCCCTATGATGATATAGCCGTTAATATCGGTTAGTATATTTCTTTGATATATTATACATCGTTTGACTATCGGGTATTATTATACATTTTACTAAGCCTATCTCAATTCTGATTGGTCGAGAGCCCTCAGCCAATCCCAGATATCGTGTGAATTCGACATGATAAATGTATTATCTGTAGGTTTTCCTAGTACAGATAATACATTTATCATGTCAAGTTCATTCGAGGTCACGCTGTGGTAGCTTTGTTTTTATTCATTATGTGTATTCATTTCCAGAATTATGTACAAAAACAATTATTTAAGGAATCCTTAATTTATTTTCATATATTTTATGAATAATTCTTGAAATATTTCTGAATTAAGAATTTTCACGCGACATCATGGCGTTCATATTTCATGTCTCTATAATTTAAAGTTCTTGTTAATTTTTTCCAGTATACAAAATGTATAATAAAGCAATTATTGAATTCGGTTATCGCATAATATCGTAAATTATCAAGACCGAGACTGGGACTGACTGTCATGGAGGTCGGACGTGTCCAACTTTAGTCCGTAAACCTGGTCTACTTTCTGCTTAATTCATATGTAGAAGAAAAATCTCATAGAAGTAGAAAAGTTAAATGTCGAAAAGGAGAGAAAGAGAACCAAATTCTTCAGTATCATCGCAAGAATCTTCACCAATTTCAAAAAGTTGCAAAATGTCGAACCAAGAACACGTGGAAGGAAAGAACACTGACAGTGAAAAACCAACGCTGGAAATGATTTATACCAAGTTAATGAGTGTAGAAGACAACACAGTTAAACTCATAAATGAATACGCTGAGCTTAAAAAAAATTATGAGAAACTTAAAGAATCCTTCGAAGAACAATCTGGTAAAATTCATGAGCTTCAAGTAGAATTAAAAGAGCAATGCGATGTAGGCAATGTTACAACAAGCGATATATCAGCTTTAAAGTCTAGAGTGAGTCAATTGGAAGAAAATCAAGATGAGATAAGCCAGTACTAAAGGAAATATAACTTGGAAATTCATGGTGTTCCCGAGTGGGACAACGAGGACTTAGAAGAGATCGTCGAAGGAATTGCGAAAGAAGTTMAAGTGGAGATAGATAGTGGCGATATCGATATTGTTCACAGACAGTATTCTAAGATAAAACCCAGACCGATCCTGGTAAAATTTAAATGTTATGAAGATAAGAAGAGTTTATATGAGGCGAGATGGAGGCTTAGGAAGTACGAAGGAGATGACGAAAAGCTAAATGGTGCGGAAAAGATYTTCCTAAATGAGCATCTAAMATCTGAAAGAAAGAAGCTGTATGCAGAAGTGAGGAAGCGAGCAAAGCAATATAAATGGGCCAGCTTTCAAACTAGGGATGGAAAGATTTTCGTTAAAAAAGAAAAAGGTGGTAAAACATATAAAATAACAA